GTGGAATGCCCAGGAGACGGCGGTGAAGTGCTGCAAGGTTGTCGGACAGTCCGAGTGGATTTATCGGCTCTGCGCCGATTCCTACCAGGCCAGGATTGGGTTTAGGGTCTAGGGTTAGGGGTTAGGGTTTAAAGGGTTTAGGGTTCAGGGTGCAGGGTTCAGGGTTTAGGGTTTAGGGTTTGGGGTTTAGGGTTTAGGATTTTAGGGTTGTAGGGTTTAGGGTTTAGGGTTCAGGGTTCAGGGTTCAGGGTTTGGGGTTCAGGGTTTGGGGTTCAGGGTTCCGGTAGCCAGTTCCCTTATCTCCTGAAAGCTTCCGTTCAGTTCAACAGCACTGTGAGCAGCCCTAAACCCTAAACCCTAAACCCTAAACCCTAAACCCTAAACCCTAAACCCCGCACCTTTGCTTAAGCCTTGCATCCCAGAGGCCCTGGGACAGCTCATGGGGTCCGAGATGCCAGCAGAGCAGCAGTACGAGGCGCCATGAGCTACCTCGCTGAGGGTTTAGGGTTTAGGGTTTAGGGTTTAGGGTTTAGGGTTTAGGGTTTAGGGTTTGGGGTTTAGGGTTTAGGGTTTGGGGTTCGGGGTTTAGGGTTTAGGGATGAGGAACTCGGGTTTCGTGGGCTTGTGGTCTTGGTATAGGGCTTATAGCGTCTGTACTATGCAACAAAGGTTCCCAAGCCCTACCCTGGATGCAATGCACACTTCAACGTGATTCTGGGCATCTTGTCCTTAATCCTCTGTGCCTTGATTGGGCGTTTCAGCACGTGAGGGACCTCAAGCCCCAAAACCCAAAATTGAAGCCCAAAACCCTAAACCCTAAACCCCAAACCCTAAACCCTCAACCCCAAACCCTAAACCCTAAACCCTAAACCCTAAACCCTAAACCCTAAACGCCAGAAGCCCCAGCCCCTTTGAAGCCATGGCCCTGAACTCAGCGTCTAAGTCGGTCTCAAGGCGACTTGGGCTGTCGCAGACATCGCCATGTATAGAGGTTCCCTCAATCCCCAGCGGCAGAGCCGTAAGCACCCTAACCTGGTTATTGGGGTTTAGGGTTTAGGGTTTAGGGTTTAGGGTTTAGGGTTTAGGGTTTAGGGTAGTAAACCCTAAACCGCTGAACCCTGGCAAAGCCCTATAGACCCCAAGCTTTGCCCTACTACACCCTATAAACTCCCACGTGATTTCTGGTTGAGGGCAAGCCTTCCTTGCTCATGGATCACACTGTTTGGGCGCCCGCGCCTTGAGTTCGTGGTTTAGGGTTTAGGGTTTATAAGGTTTAGGGTTTATAAGGTTTAGGGTTTAGGGTTTAGGGTTTAGGGTTTAGGGTACGGGTTTGGGGACACGAAACCCTCGACCCCCAAACCCTAAACTCTCACCAAACCCCAAACCTAAGCCTGATCCTCCAAATTTACGCGCCAAGATCCTGCTAAACTCCTTTCAAACCCCCCCCCCAAAAAAAAAACCGACCAAGTCCATGTGCCCCGCAATCCCCACCAGCCCTAAAAAACCAAAAGCACCCTAAGCCCCAAACCCTAAACCCCAAACCCTAAACCCTAAACCCTTGAGGCTTTCCGCGCTTGCGTGCGATCCTGGGGGTACGCTGGCAACTGGCCCTTCGCTCTTCAGCCGCCGGGCCTGAGACATCGGGGGTTTAGGGTTTAGGGTAGGGTTTCGGGTTGAGGGTTTAGGGTTTAGGGTTTCGGGTTTAGGGTTTAGGGTTTAGGGTTTCAATTTTGGGAAGTTTAGGGTTTAGGGTTTAGGGTTTTTAGGGGGTTGAGGGTGTTGAGGGTGATTTGGGTTTAGGGTTTAGGGGATGAAGGTTTAGGGTCTTTGGGATGAACACCCCGACCTTATCAAACCCTCAACTCCGAAGAGTCTTAAGGTCTTCGGACTCAAGGTCTTGAAAGCGCCGGCCCCCCGTAATACTGCACTTGCCATTTACCTCAAAACTGCGCCAAGCTACCTGAACTCCAAGCCCTGCGGGTTTTCGGGGGTTTGGGGAGAGCCTTATAAGCCTGAAACCCTGAAACGAGAAATTCGAAACGATGGCACTGGCAGGGGACGGGGTACATGTGAGCCCGGCAAATGTAAATTCCCATCCGACATCCCCCCCCCCCCCCCCCCCCGAAAGAAAGAGGTGTTTTTCTAAGTCCGAAAGGCAACGAAGCCTAAACCCTCAACCCTTGAACGTTGAAGCCTGCACCCTTTTTTGTAGGATTTAGGGGTTGATCGGGGCCATGTGTGGGGTCCTTTTTCCCTATTTCATGGATCTCTTCTGTACTATTTCCAGAGATGAAGGTGATTTGCTTTCCCCCATAGACCCAAAACCCTAAACCCTACACCCTAAACCCTAAACCCTGAAACCTAAGCCCTAAGCCCCAACGCCTAGGCCCGACCCCGCCACTCCAACGCCTCCTATGTCAGGAATCTTCTTTCAATCATACCCAAGATCCCCTAAACCCTCAACCCCTAAAAGGGCGAAAGGGGTGTTGCTGCTCGAACCCCTGAGCCCTAAACCCTAAAACCTAAACCCTAAACCCAGGCTGCTCACTACGCTGGATCCCACGCACTGGGGCACGCGGACTCAAGGCGCCTTGGTCCAGGCCTGTGGGCTGGGGAAAAGGGCTTATTCGGAGAACCCGACAGTTTAGGGTTTAGGGTTTAGGGTTTAATTAGGGTTTAGGGTTTAGGGTTTTGGGTTTAGGGCTCACGAGACAACCCCGGAAGAAGCCTCGAAAAAAGGGGCTCGAGAGAGAGAGAGAGAGAGAGAGAGCGAGAGAGAGAGAGAGAGAGAGAAAGAGCGAGAGAGAGAGAGAGAGAACGGTCCCGCGACCCAAGTGCGCCGCTCCTGCTTGGAATCTGTCCGCTGATCGCGGTTTAGGGTTTAGGGTTTAGGGTTTAGGGTTTAGGGTTTAGGGTTTAGGGTTTAGGGTTTAGGGTTTAGGGTTTAGGGTGTTGCTCAAGAGGCTGTTCCTTTCACTGTGGCGGCTGCGAGCTCTTGTGGGAGGAAGGGAAGGGATGCCCATGACTAGAGGCAAACTGTCTCAGTTCAGGTTTAGGGTTTAGGGTTTAGGGTTTAGGGTTTAGGGTTTAGGGCTTAGGGCTTAGGGCTTAGGGCTTAGGGTTTAGGGTTTAGCTGTGTGTTGGGATGTTCCCCCTTATACAAGCAGCCCTGAGTAGGGAGGATAAAATGGGGGGGGGGGGGGTAAACTAACAACCCGATAAACCCTAAACCCTATCCCGATTGTACACTTCTCTCGACTTCCATCTTGAGAGAGAGAGAGAGAGAGAGAGAGAGAGAGACAGAGAGACACAGAGAGACAGAGAGACCGAGAGACCGAAAGACGGAGAGCGGAGAGACGGAGATACAGAGAGACAGAGAGACAGAGAGACAGACAGAGAGAAAGAGACACGGAGAGACACGGAGAGACACGGAGAGACACGGAGAGACACGGAGAGACACGGAGAGACACGGAGAGACACGGAGAGACACGGAGAGACACGGAGAGACACGGAGAGACACAGAGAGACACAGAGAGACACAGAGAGACAGAGAGACAGAGAAGTCCTGTGGAAGTTCATGGGGGCGAGAAGGCCAGGGGGGGCCATGTTGCAATGTCAGCTTTCTTTTCTTTGAGGATTGAACCTCGGAAGTCCGTCCCTTCCTTGCATCCGAACAACCTAGGCCTGCACGGCTGCAGTTGGGGCTGGCGTGTCGCAAGGTGGCTGCACATTGCGTCCCCAGGGCCAACTGTGCGTCAAATTACCGCACGAAGAAGGCTGTTTCCAGCCAGCTCGGAGACGCAGTGGTCGGCTGCTTTTCACAATCCGAACATTTCAGCCTTCCGACACCTCCAAGACTCGCAGATAGGCGCAGGTCTCTCATTGTTTACACTGAAAATCGAATTTTGAGCACATCCTTTCGAAAGCGCTCGGACACACACATCCGCACATTCACCGCAAAAATGGTCAAGGCTAAGCGGGAATGCCGCTTAGAGCAAATGAGAAAGGCCACCCACGCCCGGCAAGACGCACGGCCGAACCACCGCTACAGGTGACCCACGACAGCTCAAAGCAGATTTTCTGTGACAGTGCCCCCATCACCTGGGTTATATGTTTGAGCCCATTTGTATAGAACATATTGCTTTCATGATCTGATTTTTTATCTGATGCTTACATATGGCTGTTTTTCAGCATACAGTATATTTTTCATTACCAGGAACTCATTTGTCGAGCAAATGTACGTAATGCCGAACTACAATGCAAATTGATCTAAGAGTTCAAAGTATATCACGTTTCCCAGTTTCTATGAACGAAATTGAAATTATAAGTAATTCTTCATTAATACTATCTTTCAGAAGGAGTGTGTTGACAGCTATTGTTACGACGAATTACACCTTCTTCATTAAACTCTGCTTGCAAAACTCACATTGTATTTTTGGTTTCAGTTTTATTACGATTATAGCAAAGTTTTGGTGATGTGTATAAAGTTCCTAAGTTTAATGGCAGCAATTCTTCCTTATGATTGTCATGCTTTGCTCTAATAATAAAATTCTAGACTATCTGTGGTTTTTTTGCATGTGTCACATTACTATTACTATATACAGAGTTTTTTCTATTAACATTGAAAGAATATTGTTTCGATGTGTTAAGAAATCTCCCTTATGATCAACCCAGCTGTCATCAAGTTGCGTTCCGTTCCGGAAGTCCGTTTCGACGGCTCCAGCCCTTCGACTGTTGGGAATTTTCTAAACCTCCACGCGTTGTTTCTAGTTCGTAATTTGGAAAACTTATAACTTCCATACTATATACTATCTGCGCTAGTCTTGCTTTCCATGGAAGAATTGCTATCATGTCTTGTTAAGTTTATTATTATATATATACAATATTTAATGATAAGTTAGGAGTTGGCGCTCCTGAAAGCCTGCGGCCTGCGAGAAGGGTGCGCCTGCAAGACTTGCCAGCGTTCAGTCCCGCCCCTGCTCGCCGAGGCGGGCTCGGCAATGAACGGTGAGAGAGAAGCCTCGGGCAATTGTTTTGCGGCCTTCGTGAGCTCGTTTCCGCAGGTGAAGCACGCCCTGTGCACGCTGTGGTCAAAACCGGCGTGCGCCATATTTGCCGACAACAAGACGTGGGCGGAGCGGATGGAGGGCTTCGCCCTGAAGGCAGCCCCGTGCGTGCAATTTCTCATTCCCCTTTTTCTTCTCCTCTCATGACCCACGTGAAACGATCGTGCGCAAGGAGATGAGGTTCGCTGTCGCCAAGGAGATGGGTCGCGCCTCAAGCTTTGCATGGCCACAAGGCGCAGCTCGGGGAGCTGGCACGCACGCTCCTGAACAAGGCTCGTTTACCTGACACAGAGGACGATAGGGCTTCATGACATTTCACGCATTGCGTCAGGTGGGGCATGTTTTACAAGTGTCTAGAGTAGAAGTAGACTATTTACGTTTTTTCGTTCATCCTGTTAAGTTTCCTTTGTTCTATTCAGTCGTTACATTGTTTAACGTTGAGTCTGTACTTTTACGTCAACATTGAACTTTCCACGGGCGTTTTCAAACTAGTACTATTCACGTATTGTCGCGAAACAATTTCACAAGGGTTGTTCACGGAATGTTTTGAAATCGATAACTTCAAAAATTCTGCACTTATTAGCAACAAACACATACTAGTGAATTATTTTCGGGAGTGGCTTGTAAGTATTCACGGTTGTTTCAAGAGCAAAACAAGCTTTCTGCAGAGTTATGTAAACCATTGCCTCTAAGCGGTTTCCGACAAAATGTGTCTAAAACATCATGGACGTATACAAAGAAAGTAGGGCATTCTTGCGCCGATGTATTATAAGCAATACTGTCAATACCACTAAATTTACCACAAGGCTTATCAACATGATTATGATTCTCATTTCGAAGTATTCCCCAAAATACAGTCCCATCTCAGAAAATAGATACATAAAAGCATAGCATAGATTTTCTTATCATAGACCTGGGATTCTTTTGGACTTCTTCAAAGTAGACATTCTAGTACGTTAACCGTTTCGTGGAATATTTCCGCAAGCTTGGTAGCCCAAAGCCTTCACAAACCCTCAAAACCAACCGAGAGCCCCTAAAAGCAATATTATCGGGCTCGGAATAATTACTAATAGTATTCCCTTATGGTCTCTATTTGTTTCTGCTACAATAACCCCCAAAGCCCTATTCTAATTATTCAGGCACCTATTTTACGCCCTCAAGCCGAGACCTCCGAGCCTAAAGCAGCCGTAAGGACACCGGACCCAAGGCCCCACACATCCAAGCCTTGTTAGGGTTTAGGGTTTAGGGTTTAGGGTTTAGGGTTTAGGGTTTAGGGTTTAGGGTTTAGGGTTTAGGGTTTAGGGTTTAGGGTTTAGGGTTTAGGGTTTAGGATCCCTAAGCCCAAGGCATCCTGCACTTTGAGCCCTAATTCCTAAACCCAACGCATCCTACAAGGGGTTGAGGTTTGGGGTTTAGGGTTTAGGGTTTAGGTTTTAGAGAGAAACGAGAAATATGAACAGGGAGACGACATGACAGGCCTGCTTCGAAAGCGGGGCCACAGAAGAAGCCGAGCGGCTGTTCCTTGGGTTTTTGGGATTTCGGGGGGTTTTGGGGTTTTATTTGTGTGTTAGGGTTTTCAGGTTTTGGGGTTGTAAGGGTATAGGGTTTTAGGGTTTCAGGGTTCGGGGTTTCGGGGTTTCGGGCTCCAGTTTCCTTACGGCGTTTCCTCTCCCCCCCCTCATACAAGCAGTCGGCAATCCAGGTTTGCAGGAACCTCTTTTTCCAGGCGTTTTACGTCTCACTTGATTTTTGATTCATCTCTGGCTTAAGAAGGGCAGCTTTCGATGGAAACAAAGGCACTGAACCGGGTTTCTTAATTGAGGGATGGTTTAGAATCGAGTTCCAGGTTTGGGGTTTCTTAATTGAGGGGGGGTTGATAAAAATGAGGTTAACATTAGGTAAAGTCTCAGGCAGTTTTTGCTTGTGGCCTGTGGCTTGTAACCCTCCTAAACCCTAACCCTAAACCCTAAACCCTAAACCCTAAACCTTAACCTTAAAACCTAAGCCCTAATCAATAAACCCGCTTATTGTCCTCCGTTGCTGGGGACCTCGTATGTGCGGCCACGCTTTCAAAGGTTGGGCCTGCAACTCCCTCAAGAGTTCTATGGATCCCAAATCTTGACAGGGTTTAGGGTTTAGCGTTTAGGGTTTGGGTTTAGGGTTTAGGGGGTTTAGGGTTTAGGGTTTAGGGTTTAGGGTTTAGGGTTTGTAAGAGGATTTGGAGGGCCAACCGAAGACACTTCCCTTTTCAAGGTTCGACTCTATGCTGGACAGGGGAGATGCACCTTGCCTCGAGTGATCGGGTTTAGGGTTTAGGGTTTGGGGTTTAGGGATTCGGGTTTAGGGTTTAGGGTTTAGGGTTTAGGGTTTAGGAATGCAGGGTGGGGGGGAGGGGGGAGGGGATTTCAGTATTTCAGCCCGGGGTCGACATTTTTTTGGCATTGTTAGGGCCGTGGGTTGAGGCTCTCGGCTTGGGAGGGTTTGGTAGGGCTTCAGGTTAACGGTTCAGGACCCTAATCCCTAAACCCTAAACCCTAAACCCTAAACCCTAAACCCTAAACCCTCAACCCTGTTGAGCTTATAGGAAATTGAGCGGGCGGATTGGTTTAGGGTTTTGGGTGCAGGGTTTAGCACACTGATCGCTTGCAAGTCTTCGCGTTTGGGCTGGAAGCTGCAAGCCCCCAATCCCCTCAAACCGAACCCCAAAACCCACCTTTAGTTTGGGGCTGATACCGTGGAATTCGGGGGCTCCCTGCGAACTTTAAACAACTATGGGCCTAAGAACCCCCCCCCAACTAGTAAAATATAATGCTTCCTTTACTGCCCTTGGAAGGAAGAACTTGTTACTTTCTTCGGCAGGTTCTTAGGCAAATAGTCGCAAAAAGTTCCCTAAACCCTAAACCCTAAAGGGTTTAGGGTTTAGGGTTTAGGGTTTAGGGTTTAGGGTTTAGGAGCCAAGGGATTAAGACTCCTCTCCTTAAGGTTCTAGGTAGGCCCTTGGGACATCGTATATTTTCCCTTTGTTTGGGTTTAAGAGCATCATATTCAGGAATATTGTTCAGAGGGTTTTAGGGGCCTAAACCCTAAACCCTAAACCCTAACCCCCTAAAGGTTTCCCTGAAAAAAACTCCGAATAAACATGCCCCTCATGTGCCTTGAGGGGATCTCAAGAAAGGTCCCCCCAACACCCAAGAATACATCCTTCGGGGTCTAACCCTAAACCCTAAACCCTAAACCCTAGGGGTCTAAGGTGCAACACCTAGAATGACAGGAGCCGGATGCGCTGACCTACCATGCCATGATGCTCCATTACACGAAAGACGGGGATGAGGAGAAGGCAACCTGCTCAGGGTCTTTGAATTTTGGGGTTTAGGGTTTAGGGTTTAGGGTTTAGGGTTTAGGGTTTAATTAGGGTTTAGGGTTTAGGGTTTTTAGAGCGGGGGGTGTGGGGTTGCTGTATTCTAGTATAAGAAAGAATTATGGATTTAGATTCGGAGGTTTGGGTGGCTGATATTGTAAAAACGTGGAGGAAGGCAGTTCAGATGTTGACTCGAAGCTACGGGCAGTGGCCCCTTCAACCTAAACCCTAAATCCTAAATCCTAAACCCTAAACCCCAAACCCTAAACCCTTCAACCCTGAAGCCGCAAAGCTCAAATTCACTTCGGGTACAATGCTGCGCAGTTGGGGTCTTCTGGATAGCGACTGAGACCCTAAACCCTACACCCGAAACGCTAAACCCTACACAAAAAACCCTACACCCTAAACCCTAAAGGTCGACCTCAACCCTAAACACTATAAGCCCTAAGCCCTGAACCTCAAACCCTAAACCCTAAACCTTAAACCCTAACCCCACACCCAAATCCCTAAAGGTCGCCCTAAGTCAGTCCTAAACTCTAAATCCTAAACCCTATAGACAAACCCTCTCGCCATGGCAATATCTCTGTCTGTGGCTTTGATGAGCGGACGGAGGGCAGAAATGGAAGTCGACAGCAACATGCTCATTGAGGACTCGAGGGTTACTGGTTTAAGGATATGAGGTTTAGGGTTGAGGGTTTTGGGGGCGTATACCCCCAAGTTCTTCTTCGACCCTGAATGCGCACCTCATAGCCTCATAAAACTCGATCACCCTAAGGCCCTCAACCCTAAACCCCAAACCCTAAACCCCAAACCCTAAACCCTAAGCCCTAAACCCTAAACCCTAAACCCTAAACCCTAAGCCCTAAACCCTAAACCCTAAACCCTAAACCCTAAACCCTAAACCCTCACCCCTCTCCGCTTCTTCAGGAGCTCCGGGGTCTGGCGCAAGGCAAGCTGCGGCTGCGAGGCCGACTGTTGAGCGCGAGGGGCACGCCTCTGGATGGAAGCTGGTGCTGTCGAAGAAAGTTAGTACTTTCTGGTGTAAACAATGCTTGCGGATCGGGTTCTCAAAGTTCCTATTGGGGGGTTCGACTTAACTAGGGGGGTGAAGCCAACCCTAAACCCTAAGCCCGAAGCCCTAAGCCCTAAATTCACTAAGCTAGTAAGGAAGCATGACCATCAACCAAGTTGGTCTGCAGAATGGCGATGTTGTCACCCTGGCTACAGGGAGTGTTGCCATTGCAGCTGCAATCTCCTCGTTTGCTGCTGTGTAGGACATTGGCATGCGCTTATGCTTACCCTTATAGGGTTTAGGGTTTAGGGTTTAGGGTTTAGTGTTTAGGGCTACCCTTCTTGGGTTTTTTCGCAGCTCCTCTGGGAAGATTTCTCCCGAGTACCGAGGCTGCCATCCTGCCCGATGGCGCCGTTGCTTCTTGGGGCGACGCTTTGCCAGGGTTTAGGGTTTAGGGTTTAGGGTTCAGGGTTTAGGGTTTTGGGTTTTGGGTTTTAGGGTTTAGGGTTTAGGGTTAGGGCGACACTTTGCCATAGTGGGGGAACATTTTTTATGGGTACTGAAAACTTAACATGTTTAACCTGTTTAAGGGTACTTGAACTTCACATTTTTACTTTTAAGGGTACCTAAACTCAATCAGGAATAGACATTTAGATTTGCCAACCATGAGCCAGGACAAGCGCTGTGGCAGTGGGAATAGCAGTTCCGTGCAAGATCGGCTCAAGAACGTGCAGGAGGTACAAGCATCTCAACATGCATTCGCTGCACTTCTGTCGGACGGATCTGTTGTAAGCTGGGGCCTGACTGCCTTTGGTGGTTCGAGCAAGCCCGTGGACAAGCTGTTGAAGGACGTGCGACAGGTCCAAGCTACCCGATATGCCTTTGCAGCCCTTCTGGCGAATGGTTCTGTCGTTACCTGGGGCAATGAGGAGTATGGCGGTGACAGCAGCCATGTCGAGCATCGATTGAAAGATGTGCTGCAGATCCAGGCGAATCACTTCGCCTTTGCCGCGATTCTGGCGGATGGGTCGGTTGTTACCTGGGGCGAGCGCAACAATGGGGGGGACTCCAGGGCCGTCAAGGACTCTCATCTTGTTTGTGCTACCTGTATCTCACTGTTGCACCTAGTACATATCGATACCCCTTCTTCAGCATTTCATCATCCAAGTGCCAAGAGCGTTGTTGTGGCCTTGCTGTCGCCCAAAAAAACGGCCCTTATTGGTTGCGTTTGCGATCGAACCTCTTGCTTGCAGACACCCCAAATGGGCCCTGATTGAGAGCAACCCCCCCTCCCATGTTGAAATTACTTGTGTTACACATTAAACCCTAAAACCTAAACCCTAAACCCTAAACCCGAAACCCTAAACCCTAAACCCTCAACCCTAGTCAAGCAGCTGGGTGCGGGTCCAGGCGAGGCTCACGAAAGTGAGCTGTCTCCAAGCTTCTCAGAGCGCCTTCACTGCCATTCTGGCCGATGGCACGGCTGTTTTCTGGGGTGATCGGCCTTCATTTGGTGACTTTGATGAAAGCCCAGTTCGGGAGCAGCTCCTGAGCGGTTCAAAAGCCAAACTTGTTTCAACTTTTGGCCTCTCACTTGGTAGTCTTATTCTGAAAGTTTGAGAACTTTTCACCCTATTTGGGTGTTTGGGAAGTAAGGATCAAGAGGCTTATTCTGAAAGCTTGAGAACTTTTCACCCTCTTTGGGCATCTTGGGGGAAGTAAGGCTCCAGAATGTAAGGCAGGTCCATGCTGGCCAAAATGCCTTTGCGGCTCTCCTCGAGGATGGCTCCGTCGTCACGTGGGGCAATGCGACATATGGTGGCTTGCTTCGCCAATAGCTGAACTCTATTTTTTCGGGTTTCCTTATATAGTAGGAATAACAAAGCTAGGTAGGCCCTTTACAGATTTATATTTTCCCTTATTGGGTTTAAGAGGGTCATATTCAGGAATATTTTTCAGAGGGTTTTAAGGGCCATCCTAGAAAGTTTTACATTTTCCTCTTGCTTATTTAGTAGGAAGAATGAAGTTTTAGCTTTGTTTTGTCTCTTCCCTTGCTTCTTGGAGAAGAAAGGTGGTGTTTCAGTAGGAATATTAAAGCTTAACCTCTTGTTTCCCTTGCTTAGTAGGAATAATAAAGTTTAACATTCTCATCCCATGCTTCTTGGAGAAGACTTTGTGGTGCTTTACTCTAACTTTACATCTTTAGCTATTTTTGGTTTATTGGGTTTCTTAAGAAGGCAGCTAAAAATTAAATTTATAGCTACCCTGCTAAGAGCAGCCAAGAAGAAAGGTGGTGACAGCAGTCGTGTGCAGAGCCAGCTGCGAAACGTCCGGCAAATTCAGGCCGCCCGGCTTGCCTTCGCCGCCCTCCTTGAGGATGGCTCGGTTCCTTGGGGATCCATTGAAGGTTTAGGGTTTAGGATTTAGGGTTTAGGGTTGAGGGTTTAGGGTTTGGGGTTTAGGGTCTAGGGTTTAGGGTTTAGGGTTTGGGGTTTGGGGTTTAGGGTGCTTTGGGTTCAGATGACCTTCACAGGAGTTGTCGTCGTATCGGGTACTGCAGGGCTCGGAATAATTACTACTGGTATTTCCTGATGGTCCCTGTATACATTCTACTGTAATGACCCCAGAAACCACATATTATATAACCCCCCAATGTTGGGGCTCATTTTGGTACCCCAAGGTTGTGACCTGGGGCAGTGCTGGGCATGGTGGCGATAGCAGCTCGGTGCAGGCAAGCCTGAAGAAAATGCGGATTTCAATCCTTGATCTTTGCAAAAGCACCCTGTGCACCACAATCCCGCGAATCCCTATGCCCCGACCCCAAAAGAACAAAAACAAAGACAAACTAAACTCCACATTTATAGGATTGGGTTTAGTGTTTAGGGTTCAGGGCTTAGGGTTGAAAACACCTTGAACCCCGGGCCAGGATTGTCTCAAGAATGTGCATCAAGTTCAAGCCGGGCACAATGCTTTTGCTGCAATTCTTCACGACGGATCCGTGGTCACCTGGGGACACCCCGAGTCAGGCGTGGCGGTTTTTATTTGGATTCGGGCTTAGGGTTTAGGGTTTAGGCGCCCAAGTTCTGTCGGACATCTCCCCAGGAGGCGACAGCAGCTCCGTCCAAGATCGCCTCAAGGGCGTGCAGCAGATTCAAGGTCCGGTTTAGGGTTTAGGGTTTAGGTTTTTGGCGCTGTTTCGGTTTAGGGTTGTTGGGTTGAGGGTTGCCATAGTCAGGGTTGGAGTTTTTTGGGGTTGGAAAATGGTAACCCCTACCGCTTAAACCCCAAACCCCCAACCCCAAACTCCAAACCCCAAACCCCCAACCCCAAACCCCAAACCCCCAACCCCCAACCCCCCCACCCCAAACCCCAAACCCCAAACCCTAAACCCCAGCCCCCTCCCCCCTCCACCCCCCCCTCATGTCGGAAAGGTGCACAGCATGCCTTTGCCGCCATTCTGGCCGATGGCGGTGTTGTTACCTGGGGCCATCCTGACTATGGTGGCTGGGACCTTTAGGGTTTAGGGTTTAGGGTCGACTGTTATAGGGCTCTTGAATAGGGTTTAGGGTTTTCTGTTTATAGGGTTCTTGGGTTCAGGGTTGAGGGCTTCTTGCTTTAAGAAAGATGGGTGCTCTTTCAGATTTCATAAACCCTAAACCCTAAACCCTAAACCCTAAACCCTAAACCCTAAACCGTCTAAACCTCCCCTAAACCCTGAATGTCTAGGACTCTTCTCGGATCAAGGTGGTGACAGCAGTGCAGTCCAGGAGCAGCTGAGGGATGTGCGGCAGGTGCAGGCTTCGGACTTTGCCTTTGCGGCCGCACGGGCAGATGGATCTGCCGCTTGGTTTAGGGTTTAGGGTTTAGGGTTTAGGGTTTAGGGTTAGAAGTTCATACCCTGCTTCATATGGGGGTTTACGAACATAGGGGGACCCCCAAGATAGCCCTCGCAAATAGTCGGAGTCCCGTATAATAAGGACCCCATTAGGGTACCCCCTAATTCGGGAACGCCTTTTCCTACCGTACCCTAAAGACCGATTTTAACCCTAATACCTTCCTGTACATACCTTTGTTACCCTAAATGCCCTAAATAGCTCCCTTACCCTCAACGCCCTAAATTCTCACAGATACCCACAGATACCCTAAATACCTTACTTACCCTACATACCCCTAAATACCCCAAAACTTCCCGTAAGCACCCTAAATACCCCCGCCTTCGGAGTGCCCAGCCCAGGTGGTAACCTGGGGCCATGCGGAACATGGCGGCGACAGCAGCGCTGTCCGTGCTTCCCTAGCCTCATCTGCAACCACGGAAACCTCGGGAGACTAGGCCCTAAACCCTGAACCCTAAACCATAAACCCTAAACCCGAAACCCTAAACCCGAAACCCTAGGCCGAGCATCGGGGTGTTTAGTGGTTTAGGGTTTAAGGCTTCCTCGGGACTATGGAGCGAATTTTTCTTGTTGTGAAAAAAAGGGGTTTAGGCCTTCGGGTTAGGGTTTAGGGTTTAGGGTTTAGGGTTTAGGGTTTAGGGTTTAGGGTTTAGGGTTTAGGGTTTAGGGTTTAGGGTTTAGGGTTTAGGGTTTAGGTTTTAGGTTTTAGGGTTTGGGGTTTGGGGTTTGGGGTTTAGGGTTTAGGCTTTAGGGCTTTTCTGGGGCGATGAAGGAGACTCCGATCTGGGCGCGGCCGGCGACCCTCACCCCCGTCCGAAAAGGGCGCGGCCGCACCGAAACGCCTCTCCTTCTGAAGCTGTTTCTGGCAAAAGCTGCGTGCCCGGAGAAGCACTAAACCCAGTTAGGGTTTATGGTTTAGGGTTTAGGGTTTAGGGTTTGGGGCAGTTTGGGGTTTGGGGTTTAGGGTCTTGCGCCGAGTTCAGGGTTGCTATTACAACGCTGATCGTATTTGTTGAGGTAGATTCAGGGGTCCCCCCCCCCCATCTCCGGCACTGCCCATGTACGGTCTATAGTTGCCTTTGCTGTGCTTTACTGTGGCTTTAGATCCTTTGCCTTTTTGGGTTTATTGGGTTTCCTAGTAAGGCAGCTAAAATTTTAATTCATCGCTACCCTCCGAAGTGCAGCCAAGTTGCCTTTGTTGGAGGGTGCAGGGTTGGGGGGTTGGGCTTCCAGGGGTTCGGGTGTCTTAGAGGGTTAGAGTAGAAGCCCAGCGCATGCTAAGCCCTGAAGCATTCACGCCCCTTGGGTTACGGTCTAGTCTCTTGGAGCCCAAGAAGGACCCCAATTTTGTTAAGGGTTCGTTTCCCTTCTGAACGGCACGGGCGAATGGCTCGAATTGCCATCGACACCAGTAACCGTACTGAACCCGAAGCAAGTGCCGAAACCCTTATGGTTTAGGATGTAATGTTTAGGGTTTAGGGTTTAGGGTTTAGGGTTTAGGGTTTAGAGTTTAGAGTTTAGGGTTAGTAGGGTTTAGGGTTTAAGGTGTAGGGTTTCAGGGTTCATATGCATCTCTTTGTGCAGAATGCGCCCCGCTGCTCCTCTGGGGGCTTCGAATCCACTACAGCCCTCAAGCCTTAGACCCTAGGTTTAGGGTTGAGGGTTTAGGGTTTAGGGTTTAGGGTTTAGGGTTTAGGGTTTAGGGTTAGGGTTTAGGGTTTAGGGTTTAGGGCTTAGGGTTTAGGGTTACCCGGATCGCCACGAAAAGGGTTGGCATAGGGGCGCCTCAGAGCCCTCAAACCCTAAACCCTAAACCCTAAACCCTAAACCCTAAACCCTAATCATCTAAGCGCTAGACATCTAAAGGGTAGTTGCATGGCCCTTAAGATGGTCCCTTGCCTCCTTTAATGGGTTCTGAAGTATGGGTTTTTGGGTTGAACCAGGTATATAAGGGGCGTATGAGGGTTTAGGGTTTAGGGTTTAGGGTTTAGGGTTTAGGGTGCGATACTAAGGGACCATGTAACTACCCGAAGAGTTTAGGACTTATAAGGAAGCCTATCTTTCAACACACCTGAGCGCCCCACAATGAATGTTACTAGTCGTGCTTCGTGTTCCTAAAAGGGGATTAGGGAAGCAGGTGCCCTATAGAGTCCCTTTAAATGAAGACTGGTTACAAGCACCTAGAACCCTAAACCCCAAGCCCTAGACCCTAAACCCTAAAACCCTAACCCAGACCTTAAACCCTAAACCCCAAGCCCTAAACCCTAAACCCTAAACCCTACACCCTAATCCCTAAACCCTAAACCCTAAACCCTAAACCCTAAACTCTAACCCTAGACCCTAGACCCTAAACCTAAACCCTAAACCCTAAACCCTCAGCCGAACTGTGACAGGCCGATTCTCTCTACCGCACCTGCGTGCGAGTTGGCCTTTGCCCCGCCTGGGCAACTGGGCTGCCAAAGCCATCCAGGGGAGTTGCTTTTTCTTTTTGATTTTTTTTCTGGAGTTGTTAGGGGGGTTTTGGGTGGTTTGCGGCGTTTTTTTGGGGGGGAGGGGGGGGGGTTAGGGGGGTTTTGGGGGGGATTACGGGGGTTTTGGGGTTTCAGGGGTTTGGTTTTGATATACATATATATGTATATATATATATATATATATATTTTTTTTTTTTTTTTTTTTTTTTTTTTTTTTTTTTTTTTTTTTGGGGGGGGGGAGGGGGTTGTTTTTGCATGAGGGGCTAAGGGTGTGCGGTGTTTAGGGGGCAGGGTTGATCTTTTACGCACTCTCACTTCCGGGGGTTTAGGATTTAGGGTTGAGGGCTTGGGGTTTAGGGTTTAGCAACATCAAAGCCGAAATCCCCCAAGCCAAGGAGATTCGAAAGAACTGCATGTCAGTGGTGGGCCTCGATCAGGCTGCGATCTGAACTGAAGTAAATGGGTTTGGGGGTTAGGGCTTAGGGTTTAGGCGTTTTACTGCCTCTGAGTAGGGAATTTGCGAATATGGTCACCTGTATAGGATATGTTGCGGCTAAGAACGAGCAAGTTTCACCGTCCTTTTTATGTTTCCGATGTTTTTTTATTTCCCCCCCCTCTCAAGAAACTGCATGGCAATTGTTTTGCTTGTCGCAGGTGTACAGGATTTACACGATTGTTTTGGGTGTTATATATTTTGAGGGATTCTTATCCTACGTGTGAAGATATTTCCTAGGGTTTAGGGGGGGGGGGGGGGGGGGCGGTTGACAAGGCGTCAGGGCTTCTAGAAAGCTAAACCCCAAACCCTAAGCCCCAAACACCCTAAAACCATCAAATCCCAAAGCCCTGAACCCTAAACCCAAACCCTAAACCCTAGACTCTAAACCCTAAACCCTAAACCCAAACCCTAAACCCTAGACTCTAAGCCCTAAAAAGACTGGTGAGGCGCCTCGGAATCATAGTCTTGGGGGCTCAAGACGAGTCTTGAACCGTAAGCCAGGACTTTGGTTTCGGGGTGAGTTTTTTTGGCTGGATGTGAAGTGTTTAGGGTTTAGGGTTTAGGGTTTAGGGTTCAGGGTTTAGGGTTTAGGGTTTAGGGTTGATGAAGGAGCTCGCGGGCCTCGCCTTGCGCATCTTCCTTGAGAAGTGGAGGGCACGCACGCTGAAAACGTACCCTGGCTCTCGCAAGGATCTTCCTGGACACGGTTTTGGGAGTTGAGGGCGTTTTGGATTATTTTTTTTTGGGGGGGGGGGGGGGGGGGGGCTGGTGTTTAGTTAGTGTTTTGGGATTTGTTCCCTACCTTCGGTGTGGGGTTGTTAGGTTTTAAACTCAACTCTTCTCCTCGCCCGGAACTCTTATCCTTGCCCGGTCTACTCCTCGCTCATCCCTGGAGTCCCCAACCACAGAGCGTTCCTGGGAGTGCCCAACCCCACAGAGTCGCTGGAGTGCCCAACCCCCAGAGTGTCCCTGGAGTGCCCAACCTCAGAGTGTCCCTGGAGTGCCCAACCTCAGAGTCTCCCTGGAGTGCCCAACCCCAGAGTGTCCCTGGAGTGGCCAACCTCAGAGTCTCCCTGGAGTGCCCAACCCCAGAGTGTCCCTGGAGTGCCCAGCCCCAATTGCAAGCACAAACTAAGAATGCGCATTTGAATCAATGTGTCTTTGTCTGAACATCTTATTTGCGCTCTTTCTTGTTAACAAGGATCAAGGTGGGGATGTTCGAAGTAAAACATGTTTTGTTTTTGTGTGTTTAGGGTTTGTCTATGGGGCTGACTCTGAGCATGATGTTCCATTGGGACGACTTTGATAAGCAACCCCATCTGTAGCAGAGATCGGATTCCATGTGGTACCCTAAATTTAGAACAGGCTTCTCTCTCTCTATCTATATGTTAGTATACAGATATATATATATATATATGTATATTTATAATTATATATATATATACATATATGCATACGTATATATACCCCCAACCCCAACCCCATATACCTGGGGACGCCTGCCACGTTTATTCTTCAAAGTTATACTAAGGCTCAAGCACCACCCCTGAACCCTAATTACTGAGTTCCGGCTCTCTTCTAGCCTGCCTTGGCGCCCCGACGGCTCGACCTTGCGGGTTGGGTTGAGGGGCTTACAGGGTTTAGGTTTTAGGGTTTACGGCTTAAGGTTTAGGTTTGAGGTTCTAAGAAATCCCCTAGAACTCCTTCAGGGCATAAATAAGGTTACCCAACCCCGATCTGTAATATATACATTTCGGGGAGGGGGGGGAGGGGAGGTCTCTGTGGATTGGCATATAGAGTTTACGGTTTAGGGTTCAGGGAACTTTGTCTGGGGACTTTTTGTGGGGGTTCCAAAAGGGGTACCCCATGCCTGCGCGGGAAAAACGCCCATTTAGGCGGCGTATCACTCACGACTTCGTTCTCGTGACCACGCCGCAGGCCGAAAGACTTGGTTGAACGCGTCAAACCCTAAATCCTACACCGGGCTTGTAGGGGTGGGTTTTGGGTTTAGGGTTTCGGGTTTCGGGTTTCGGGTTTAGGGTTCATGTATGGAGCTCCAAGTATTGCCCATCTCCGGAAGCCTCAACCGTCTGGAGCCCTCTCGACCCCTAAACCCTGCGCCCTCGGCCCCCCCAAACGCTAAAGACAGTATCCTTCAACCCCATGCCCCTCAACCCCAAACTTACCCACAAACCCTAAACCCTAAACCCTAAACCGCTGGAACCTCAACGGGTTTGGGGTTGAGGGTTGCTGGTTGAGGGTTGAGGGTCCGGGTTGAGGGGTCTTGGGTGCGCTCCAAATCTCCAAGGCCAGTCTCCTCAACCCGTGACCCTTGACTCATGAAACCACGAAACCAATGGCCTGGAGGCTTAGGGTTTGGGGTTTAGGGTTTAGGGTTTAGGGTTGAGGGCCGCAGAAGTTCCCAAAATCCAACCTGCATAAACCCCAAGTCCCGGCGAGCCCCAAAAGCTTACAAGCTTGAAACCCCTCTAACCCTAAACCCTAAACCCTAAACCCTAAACCCTAAACCCTAAACCCTAAACCCTAAACCCTAAACCCTAAACCCTAAACCCTAAACCCTAAACCCTAAACCCTAAAACCCTAAACCCTAAACCCTAGACCAGGCCGACGTTGGCGAAGCCTGGGTCCCCTCTGATAGCGAGGCTCTTGACGTTTTTTTTTTTTTTTTCAGGGCTTCGGGTTTTTAGAGTTCAGGTTTAGGGTTTAGGGTTCAGGGTTTAGGGTTTGGGGTTTAGGGTTTAGGGTTTGGGGTTTCGGCGTTATAGGGTATAGGTTTATGATGATTTTCAGGAGTTTGGGTTTGAAGCTTGTGTATCTGGGCTTTGGTTGAGGGCTTCAGGGCTTCAGGGGTTTTCTTGTCGGTTGTTAATTTCACGGGTTTCAGCTGTGGAGACATGAAGCGTGACTAGATCATACTGCAGAGGTGTTTGAACCAGCAGTGTTTTGGAATCAAGAAGAATGAGTCTGTACTGTTCTAGTTAAGGGTTGAGGGTTTAGGATTTATAAAGGGACATGAATGGGAACCCCGAACAGGGAACCCCCAGCATAGAGTAGGAATAGAATAGGAATAAACCTACCAGGGTCCATATACTTCCATGTCTATTCTTACAAAATTCTTGGGGTCCCCTGTTCGGTTTCCCACCGAGATCCTCCTAGTTTAGGGTTTAGGGTAGCTGGTCGCTAAACCACACTTTAAAAATAGTCAACATACCCCTTTGGGCATCCCTATAAGTCAAGGGTGTGGCACAAGCCTTCCTTATATTCTCCTTTTAGAGGCCAAGGGGTATGGGTTTGGGGTATGTCGAATTGTGCTTAGAACCTTTCTGGTGACAGGCCCTAAACCCTAAACCTTAAACCCCTACACCAGTTTTCTGGTCGCAGGAGAAGCAGATGCAGGACCATTTGAAAAGCATCCTCACCAAGGAGCAAGCGGTGCAAGATGTTGGCAAGTTGCGGTTTACTGAAGGCTGCAATGTGGTTTCTTTTTCTGGGGTGAGTTAGAAGGGGCTAGGGTTTAGGGTTTAGGGTTTTTAGGGTTTAGGGTTTTAGGGTTTAGGTTTTTTTAGGGTTTAGGGTTTAGGGTTTAGGGTTTAGGGTTTAGGGTTTAGGGTTTACGGACACCGAAGCTGGTGGCTCCGACTCTGCAGGCTAGCGGTTGAGGGTTTGGACGTCAAACCTGCTCGTACCTCCTCCTTGTTTTCCTTTCTTCGTTTTCCTTGCGATAGGGTTTGGGTTTTTAGGGTTTAGGGTTTAGGGTTTAGGGTTTAGGGTTTAGGGTTTAGGGTTTAGGGTTTAGGGTTTAGGGTTTAGGGTCCTTGTTTTCCTTTCCTTGTTTCTGCTTGCGACCCTTGCATGCTTCGTCTTTCATTATTTCTTGTATGTTGGCGTGTGTGTGTATGTGTGCGCACGTCTTTTACGCTGTTTCTGTGTTTTGTTTTGTTTTTTTTTTGTGTGTGTGTGTGTGCCCCTTGCCCTGCCCTACACCCCAAACCCATGGTTTGAGTTACCCTAAACCCTAAACCCTAAACCCGGGTTTAGGGTTTCGGGGTTTCGGGTTCAGGAGTATGGCCTGACTCCAGCACGCAACTTGTGCGGCTTTGTGGTGCCAAAGTTGCTATTGGCCAGGCGGCTCCCCAGGGGTGCAGGGTGTAGGGTTTAGGGTTTCGGGTTTAGGGTTTGGGTTTAGGGTTTCGGGTTTTGGGTTAACTGTGAAGTTGTTTGGGGCTTCAGTTGCATGCCTCAGAACCCGCAGCCCCCCCAAACCCTAAACCTTAGACCCTAGACCCTACACCCTAAATCCTAAACCCTGAATTCAGGCCCTCCCAAAATGGCAAGCCAGGAAGTGTCCGTTTGAGTGCTCTGCAGGGAAGGTTCCCCCTGGTTCTATAAATAGGTGTTTGGGTGTTTGTGTTCTAACTGGAAGCTTCCCCCGTGTTCTATAGCTAGGTTTTAGGGTTTTGGGTGTGGGGTTTAGGGTTTGGGGTTCTACATGTTGTAAGACTGAAAGCTTCGGACATCACGCACAATTTTTTCGCAGAGCCCAGCCACCCTCAAAGCCCTAAGCCCTAAACCACTAACCTCCATAAACCGTCTCAAAACCAGTAAAAATGCGCTATGAACCCTAGAAACCCAACTCCTGGAAGAACCTCAGGCCCGAAACCCTAAGCCCTAAACCCTAAACCCGAAACCCCAAACCCGAAACCCGAAACCCTAAAACCCGAAACCCTAAACTCGAAACCCGACAATCGATCTATGGAGGTACGCGGGTATCGGAGGAGAAGCCCCTTGGCCTGGCATTTAGGGTTTAGGGTTTAGGGTTTAGGGTTTAGGGTTTAGGGTTTAGGGTTTAGGGTTTAGGGTTTAGGGTTTAGGGTTTATAGGGTTTAGGGTTTAGGGTTTAGGGTTTAACCCCGAATCCTAAACCCTAAACCCCAAATCCTAAACCCTAAGCCGCAAACCCCGATGGCACCTTTGTTAGTCTGGCGGGAGGGAGGGGGGCTCCCTTCTTGTTCCAAGTTTTTAGGTTTAGGGCGGGACCTTCGCCACGGCTTGGCATCGCGTGTGATTCCCCAACCCTAAACCCTAAACCCTAAACCCTAAACCCTAAACCCTAAACCCTAAACCCTAAACCCTAAACCCTAAACCCTAAACCCTAAACCCTAAACCCTAAAGGTACCAAGTTCATAGGGTGTGGGGACAAGCTCCCTCTTTCCGTGAACTATCATAGCAAACCCTAGGCCCTACTCCCTTTACTTAACTAAGGGTTTGGGGTTTAGGCTAAACCCTAAACCCTAAACCCTAAACCCTAAACCCTAAACCCTAAACCCTAAACCCTAAACCCTAAATGGGATGCAGCTGCTTACGCGCCATGCAGGGCAGCCATGCTCTCCAAAGCCCAGGTCAAGAAGGCGAAGCTCACCCGCGCTGAAAAGGCGGAGTCTTCAGAGGGTTTAGGGTTTAGGGTTTGTTTAGGGTTTAGGGTTTAGGGTTTAGGGTTTAGGGTTTAGGGTTTAGGGTTTAGGGTTTAGGGTTTAGGGTTTAGGGTTTAGGGTTGGGGTTTTCCCTGAACGAGTTTAGGGTTGAGGGATCCGCAACCCCCAAGTACACCCTACAAATTGGATTTTGTGGAATCCGGCTCGAAGTTAGTGTGAGACCACCCGCGCATCTAAGGCCTAAGATTTGGAGCTCAGGGTTGAAGATTTAAGGTCTACCTGGGACCCTCTTTACCTACAGTTGAGTAGCAATCACCCTTTTTTAGTAGGTATACCGGTATACCCCCTTAAAGCTGTGGGTTAAGACCTTGTTTACCTACAGTTGAGTAGTATTTTCCCCTTAATTAGTAGGTATAACCCCTTAAAACTGTGGGTTAAGACCTTGTTTACCTACAGTTGAGTAGTAGTTTCCCTTAATGAGTAGGTATAAACCGTAAAAGTGTGGGTAAAGAGGGTCCCAGGTAGGGTTTGTAGCTTAACCCATCACAAGAGCCGCATGCACAGGGGCTTAGGGGGGCACGTGGCAAGGGTCCGAAAACCTAAGCCCTAAACCCTAAACCTTAAACCCTAAACCCTAAACCCTAAACCCTAAACTCTAAACCCTACTAGCTTTGGCAGTGCAAGTTTTCGGGCGTAGGCGCAGGGCTCTTAATCGCCAGGTTAAGCCTCCGAATGTATCATTTAGTGGTTT